TAAATCCTCCCAGCTTTCTCTGAATCCATTTCTGGCAAATTTTCTTCAGCAAGTCCATTAAACATGGGGTTATGTGCTCTTACTTTGCATTTTTAATAATCTCATGGTTCCCTGCAGTGATCCTACCCTTCACAAGCAGCTAGGTGGTCTCAGTTTCCACATCTGTAAAGTGGGGATAATAACCTGCCAGAGTCGTTGTGAGTATCAAATGAGATGGCCTATGTAAAGTGCTGAGGGCAGTGCCTGGCACATAGCCGGCATGATCTGTTAGCGATTGCTATTACTAATAGCTGAATGCTCATTACTTCACCCTTCCCCTCATGCCACTGAATCATGCTTGAGGAAGACACAGCAATGTCTAGGGGCCACTACATATGGCCCTCGAGAAGCCACAGTAAATTCATCTTCCCTTCATCCCTAATGGAAGCTGCTCCATACTTCCTCTCCTGGCTTCAAGCCCCCAACCGCCCCTCTCTCAGAAGGGGACCAAGCCTACTTTGCTAAGAAAAGAGAGTTTTCTCCTGTCCTCCTCTCCAGCCTCAAACCTGCCTGAACCCATCCCCCTCCCGGGCCCCTTCCCTGCAGTTCCTGATTGGGGGGGGGTGTCCCTTCCCCAAGGCCAACCTCTCTCCCTGGCTTATTCCCATTCCATGTCTCCTGGAATGTGTACCCTGGACCACGCCCCAGTCTTCAATGTCTTAGCATCTGCTGCCTCATTCTCTGCTGTTTTATGAGCACTCCAGGTCTCTCTCCGCTGTCCTGCCTCCTCCTTGGGAGACTCTGATGTGCCCTCCAGCCATGCCCTGAAGGCTGTCCTCCCTTTCTTGAGCAAACTCCTGGTAAAAGCCATCTACACTCAAGCTTCTCTGGCCCCTTCTTGCCCTTGGCGCCAGGTCACCGCATCCTTCAATTGCAATGGCTCTTCCCCAAGGAGTCTACAGTCTCTTCACTGGTGAACCTGAGAACCCCTTCTCGGTCCTCTTCCTCCCAGGCCTTTTTGCAGGCCAGGACACCTTCATCTTAAGATACTCTTTCCTGCCTTGGTATTCCGGAAGCTCCTGCATGATCTCTGGGCAGAGATCTAGCCCAGCCTGTCTGCTCACGTCTCCCCACACTCCCCTCCCCCATTACTGCATCTCCAGTTTTCCATTGTCTTATCTTATGCACATGCGGCCCCTCTCCCAATGGAAGTGTGCTACTGGAAAGCCAGGAAGGTTTCATTGTGGGTTTTGAATCCCTGGGGTCTAGCCTTGTGCTTGGCACACAATAGGTGCTTAATAAACGTTTGTTAAATAGCACAGGAATAAACCCCATTCCCACATGACCAACTAACTGCCCATTGGAAATTTCCAAGTCATGTGAACATCTCAGACTCCACCTGTACAGAAGAGAATTCATTGTCTCCTCCTCTTACAGCCCACAACTCTGCTCCTACTAGCTAACATTTAAATAGCACTTGGTATGTGCCTAGCACTGTGCTAACTGCCTCACTGATCCTCACATCATCCCTGCAAGGAAAGTGATGTTATTGTCCCTGTTTTACAGATGGGGAAACAGAGACATCAGAGTCCAGTGGCAAGACAAAAGTCAGGAGGACTGGCTACGGTCCAGGGTGCCATGATGACCTTGGCACCTCCCATGTCTGACCAAGCTCTCAGCTCCACGGCACCTGCTTTGTGACTTGGAATAAATCGTTCCCGGCCTCCCATTCTGCTGGGGGACGTCCTCACACACCTGGGGACACCCCTCCAACTCATGACTGATTTGAGACCTGTTGGTTACCCTCAACCTGGATAAGCTGTGGTGAATGGACAGTGAACTGGACTCAGGACTGAGCCCACGGAAAGACTGAGCTGGGCTGCATGTGGGCTGGGCAGTGTTTCTATCCCTGCCCCAACCTCCATAAGGGCCTGTCTTTTGAACCCCAACATCCCCCAGTTGTGTAGCCTTGGATCGAGCCACCCCGGCAGCTGGGAGAATTACAGCTACTTGTGACCCGGTGGACAACAGGAAGATGGACGGTGGGTACAAGCCAGCTGTCACATATTACCAACTTCAGTGGGGGTGGGGCAGGGAAAATGAGGGTGCAGCACAGGGGGCAGGATTTTAAAGTCTAGAAAGTCAGGAACAGAACCAGGAGGCACATGAAGATAAGCAAGGGCCCTGGGCCCTTCCTAAAATGGAGGTTCCAGAAGGAACCAGGAGCTGGTGCCCATATATGTGCACGTACAGTGTGTGTGTGTGTATGTGTGTGTTTGTGTGTGTACATGTGTGTTTGTATGTGTGTGTGTGTGTTACAGATAAATCGGCTTTGCATCCCGGAAAGGAGACCAAGAATGTTCGGCAAAGCTTCATTTAACTAACTGACCAAAGATCCCGGGGATCGGCTGCCTCCTGGCTTCCATCAGCCCAAAGGACAGAGCCGCCACAGCATGTAAACATCCTCAGGGAACCAAAATTCCTGATTCAAAGAAACCACAAGCACGTCAGAGGTTCTAAAAGCCTGGAACATTCGCAGGGTCAGAACTGTGTGAGCACACGCTGTTCCCAGCTGCCTCCTCTGCCCCCACCTAGCCCACCCCTCCGGAAGCTGGACAAGAGGCCTGGTTCAGGTCCAGGACAGGCAGCCTTCCCTCCCTTCTGGTCCAGGATAGATGGGGACTACTATTATTTAGTAACACTAGTCTCACACTTTTTATAATATTTTCCCACTTAACAAAGAGTTTTCTTCACTAAGGGAAGCCTTGTATGTGTTATCATCCCCAAATTTCCTCCATGGGGAACTGAGGCCCAGAGAGTTGAAAGGATTTCCTCAGGCCCCTTGGAGTCAGGATTTGACACAAAGCCTTCTGAAGGTTGGAAGGGGCTGCTGCCTCCGTCTGCCTCCAGCTGCCCGGCTCAGCAGCTCCCTAAGTAGACGAGCCCCCCTGCCTAGCTTTACCACCCTGCGCACCCAGCACCAACCCCTCTTTCCCTCCTCCCTGGACTCACCTTTTCCAGGAAGCGAGCGTCTCACTGAGCCCCTCCTCACCGTAGCTCAGATAGCTCTTCCGAAGCTGCTCAAGCCCAAGTGCACCTCCCTCGGGGACCCCCAGCTTCAATTCTTCAGAGATTCAGGGCAATCAGCTCCACGGTTACAGTTAATCTGTGGCAGAGGAGTCCCCCAGTCTCCATGCCCAAGTCTCCATGTCCAGCTCTTAACCTCTCTGCCTCCAATTACTTGGGAGAAGTCTCTACCAGGATGTCACAGAAGTCTCTCCCTCTCAGTGGATGCTAAGCAGGCTTCATTTACTTGGCTCCCGACCTG